CAGCAAGGACACCGTCAAAGTTCTCTATGACCATTCTTTTTTGCTTGCCTCCTCTTATTGCACCTCCATCATTGGCCTTTTTGATTAACATCTTATATGTACTTACTAGGCTTTGACCAAAGGACACATTAGTGATGGCATAGTGTGTATACAAAATATCACCATTAGTGCTTTGTCGCAACCTCATAAGTGCCAACACCTCATTAATGTGCTGCATTAAAACAAAAAAACATGATAAGTGTCAATACCTTATCAACATGTTAAGCAATCTGTTTTAAAGCAACCTCCTAAAAAAAAAAAATTACTGAAGTGATCTGTTAAAAAAAAACAGATCACTTAAGCGATCACACAATATCTCATGGAAAACATAAGCAAAAATAAGGAAAAATACGGGAAAATAACTTACCAAGTCATCGAGCCACCTGCCTATTGTTAAGATCTTTTCAAACCAGTCTCGGGGATAATCCCTGGTCTTGCACCTCACACAACCATCACTTCATTTCTCATTGTAATAGGCATAGAATAGATTTTTCTTTTCCTCATCTATTGGCCTATACAAATCAACCTTTAACTCTTCTGTTTTCACTTCCTCTGCCTTCATTCTTACCCTCCTCCATTTTAACTTTCCCACTTCCTTCACCTTCCTCCTCCACTTCTCCACTTTCATGGACTTTCTCCTTTTTCTCCTTAGTTCTCCTCTTCTTTCCATACATTACTACCGTGTAAGGAAATTTTACGTGCTTTACTCTTTCAACTCTCTTTTCTATGCTGAGGTTGCACTTCAACCACTTTCAATACCCCATCAACTTTCTCTTCCATCCTACCAGCTTTCTCCTCCACCTTTTTCATCCAGTTTTCCATCTTCTCAAACCTCTCATAAACAGTGGTTGTAAAACTATCAAAGAGACTGTTTATGAGGTTAACCACCTCATTCTCCCGATGCCTCGGCAAATTGATACTTGTTGTACTGGTCTGCCAATTGGGTAGAGGCATATGAACCTCTTCATCTTCCTCCTCCTCTTCCCTCCCACCGACTGAAGCTTCATCCTCCTCGGCCTCAACCACATGCTCAAGCAGTGACCCCGCAACTGCCCTCAAATGCATGACCCCTTCTAGGTCCCGCATTAGGCGGTCTATCCCGTGATATGTTATATTGTCCAGTGGTACGAACAATGTAATATACTCCGCTGTCGATTCACCCCTAGTAGGAGTGATGAAGGGACGAACGACTCTCTACAATAAGAAAAAAACAAATCAAATTTAAGCCACATTTAAAAGCAAGTGCATATTCAAAATATTAATCCTTTAATCTTACCCAAGCTGCTTGAATTTCTATTTTTATTTTGTCATAGTCCAAATGGGCACACTTCTCGGTGTGCCATCGCAACATTCTAGGAAATTGCAGTGTCTCATTCGAAGTCTCCTTTTGTCCCCCTCGCCTTAGCTAGGACATGGATGACCTCATACATCAAAGTCTACATTGTAACAAAACAATCCATATCATAATTAAAACACATATAATACAAAAAATATAACAAAAAGCTATTAATATTTACCTGCATTGTCCATGGGAAGTCAAACAAATTGTAAGTGCTCGGTCTCTCCTTCTCGACATATTGGCGGTGCTTTATCGCCATGTCTTTTCCACGTAAGGAATCAATGTTTAGCTGAAATGATAACCTTCCCCACTTATAAACATTAAAGAACTCTTTGTTGCTTGCAAACCACACCCAATCTAGATTAATGGCTTTTGTTGAGTCACAAGCTATTAGGATGGAATGTAAAAACCATACTAGGCACATCTTAAACTCCTCTGAAGAGGTATACCCTTCTTCTCCTAACCTATCTTCTAAATCACGTGCCATAATAGATGCTTGCCCCGCCAAAACCAATCTAACAAAGGTTTCAGCTGCCCTACTCTTCTTTATTCTCTCTTCCTCTTCTGCTTCCAGAAATGCCCCACATCTTAAACCTATCATCAAGGCAAATTCCATCATCCCAGAATGTAATGGCTTCCCATCCACCACGAACCACATTTCATTTCCTTTTTTTTTTTTTTTTTTAATTGAGTGCAGCAACATAAAATGTGTTGCCTGCCTCCAGAACACCTTCTTCCAATTCTCTCCTATGTCCATAAAATGATCGAAATAACTATCTTTGAATCGGTCCATACCTCTCTTTTGTTCACCTAAAATCTCCCTTATTCTTGTAAACACTTACCAACTCGACCTAATCGTCACCCTTACGGGGAAGTATGGTATCCTATCGATTACAATCTCCAACTCATCATCTTTATAATTTGTGCTTCGATAACACTGCACAATCGATATAAACTAAATATCAGGAAAAAAAAAAAGAAACCAAAACAACCAATAGGCTGCCAATTTGGAGGATATGGGCTTCGAGGGCATCAGAGAATAGGTGTTTTTGGCTTTGAGAGGACTGGGGAAGCCAATATAGGCCCTAGAGAGGTTATTGTGGTAGGTTCGATGGCTGGGGATGGCAAGAGGGGCTGGAAAAGGGGGGGCTAGGGGTTGTCCTGCATATTGCAAGGCTGGCTATAGGCAACGTGTGCCCAGCCCTACAATATGTAGGGCAGCCCCCAGCCACCCCTATTCCACCCCCTCTTGCCATCCCTAACCCTCCAACCTCTCAAAAACAACCTCTTTACGGCCTCTCTTGCCTTCCCCCATCCTCTGGAACCCAAACAAAGGCACTCCCCTGATGTCCGCCAACTGCTCGACAAAATGCCACAACCACCCTAACAATCAAAACCAACTAAATATCCCCCAAATTCACACCAACAAAGAATTTTTTCATAAAATGGTAAGAAATGTACTTGTTCTTCATCTTCTTCCTCCTCCTCGCCTGAATTTGCATTAGCGTCCTCGTATTCAAAACCATTTACTAAGCCTACTGTCTGTTCTTGTACTGCCATCGTGTCCTCTGTCGCTAGACCAACTTCACTCATAAGAAGATCCACTGAAACCTCTTCTTCAACAATCTTTGAACAATCGCCGTCGCTGGACTCTAGAATTTGGAGTGGGGCTGGGTTTTCCTCCGATTTGTTAATGTCAGCCATTGTTTCTTTGTGTAATTAACAGGGAAACGAAATCTAAATGGCAAAGATTTGCTAGAAATTGGGAACTTTAATCGCCAAAAATCGCAAGAGAGATGGGATGTTTTTGCTAGTCGCTTTTTTTGGGTGGCCTCCCTCAATCTATTCCGTTGCGCGTTTTGATTGAATTGGGCAATATAACACCTAATAAGTTTTATGCTCCAGTCAATTAAAGTAGTAGTGATAGTAATATTCTACTTCATTCGTTCAAAATCGATATGCATATCTATTGAATGTTTTATACTATTTAAAAATTCAAATCAATCTCTAAATTAATATTATTTAAATAGAGAGATAATCTTATCTATATATTATATATTTCTAGTGAGAATAGATTCCTTTTATTTATTTATTTTAATCTTAGGGGATAAGATCCCAAATAGAAAAACTATCCATCAATTTGGCTGGTTAAAATTCGACTGGTTTTGTCGGATATTATGGTATTATTAGATCTAGGGGCAGGCCCAACCGATATATATATAACTTGTTATCAATACAATATATATATTTCAGGTCCGCATTATATTAAAAGTTTAAAACTCTCTTCACAACTTCATCTGTTTTTTATAATTTTATCTCTAAAATTCTTTACTCTCTCTCTCTCTCTCTCTCTCTCTCTCTCTCTCTCTCTCTCTCTATATATATATATATATATATATATATATATATATTGTTATCAATACAGTATATATATTTCAGGTCCGCATTATATTAAAAGTTTAAAACTCTCTTCACGACTCCATCTGTTTTTTATAATTTTATCTCCAAAATTCTTTACTCTCTCATTCTTTTTCTCATGTTATTGGCTCTTAAGACTTTTGAAGATTGAAATTGTTGAAGCTTTCATTACTTCGTTTTCTGTTTTATTAGTTTTAGATATATGTATCATTTCAATTTAGTTTATTTTAGGTTGAATTATGCTTGTTTTTTTGGAGGTTTTTTATTATAATTTGATGGAAAAAAAAATAGATCTTATGAGTTTGTTTTGTGTCTAAGAATGTTTTCGTTTTCCCAAATTAAACCTTAACTATATTTTACTGGAGGTTATTCTTCACCCTTCGCCCACAACTTTCCTACATTTCAAACGTCGCTGTTTAATTGCTTAAAATTATTAAAGAAATTTGAGTTATTATCTATATTTATACCAAGAAAATTCTTTTTTTTTATTTAATTCATATTAAAAGTCAACATAATGTTGACTTGATTTAAGCTTTGATTAACTTTAGCTTAGACTAGGTTTAATTAAAGTCATAAAAATTTATATTATAACTTTTGGAAGCCAAGAAAAAAAAATAAGAAATTTGTGTGGAATATGTTTTGGTAGATTGTAGTTGTTGTAAACTCTTTTGATTATATTGGATTTAAGTGGATAATTAGATTCTCGTAATTTTTTGTTCTCTTCACATTGAAGAGATTTTTCCATACAAATTTTTTTTTTGTGTTTCCTTGTGAATTGGATGTTATTTTCAATACATTTGTTCAAAGTTTTACTTCTCATAGATTTATTTAAGTACGAAAATATTATGTTATTATACTTTTTCTTTTTAGGTTTTAATATTGTATTATTTTTTTTTGTTTAAAGTTTAATTATTTTATTAAAATTTTTACTAGTTATTTGATAAATAATGACGGAGGCGTAGAGTTCCTTAGACAAAAGCTCTGTGCCGCCACTAATTAAATCCCAATAATTTTTAAACCAACAAGATCTGTGAAACGAAGAGAGGTTAAAATTTGGAAGAGCATCATCAGATATGTCAGCAGACAGCAACACACTCTTCTTTATTGTATCAGTATCTGTTTTCATGCAGGATATTTTTAATTCACCAATAGGACATGGGAGAAACTAATTGCTGTCTTGCTGATAGAGATATATGCATGGATTTATTGTTTATTGTGGAAATTTTTTACTGTCTAATATTTATACCCCTCCTACTCTTCCATATCCCAATACAATTAGCAGCCATGGAGAAATCTTCAATTCTTCGTTTCACCTTCATCTTTGCTATAATCTTTTTCCTTTTTGCTTGTTCATTTTACCCTTCAAGCAAATCAGAATTCCTTGGTTCTTCACCTTGCTTCCCATGGTGCACCTCCAAGAACCGGATTTACTCCAACTTCGACTCAATTTTAGAGAACCCTGTTCACAATGGCACTCACCACCATCACAGTACTCCTCTCCACCCACTAGATCCACTTTCAGTAAAGGAAATCAATAAGGTCCGAACCATCCTGTCATCCTATGCACACTTTGCCTCTTCCTTCCCAACCATTCACTCTTTAGTCCTTGATGAACCTAATAAGACTCAAGTCTTGGCCTGGAACAAAGGCGACCCCCTTCCTCCAAGAAGAGCTTTCGGAATTGTGTTACTAAACGGACAATCTCATATGCTCACAGTAGACTTAAATTTGGGTCAAGTCATTAACCACGCAATCAATTCGGGCTCCGGTTACCCAGCACTGACCATGGATGACATTTCATCGGCATTGAAAGTAACACTAGCCGACGCTGAGTTCAATAAATCAATCATATCAAGAGGTATTAAATTATCTGATGTGATTTGCTTACCGCCATCAGCGGGCTGGTATGGGCCAAATGAAGAAAACAGGAGAGTTATAAAGGTTCAATGCTTTTCAAGCGAAGGTACACCCAACTTTTACATGAGACCCATTGAAGGGCTGACTGTAACAGTGGACCTCGACCAGAAAAAGATTGTGAAATTTTCCAACACAGGAAGAGGTATCCCAATTCCAAAAAGTAGTAATACAGATTATAGATACACGGCCCAAGTGAAGCCACCAGAACTGAAGCCACTAAATCCAATATCCATGGAGCAGCCTAAAGGGCCTAGTTTTATAGTAGAAGATGGGCACGTGGTGAAATGGTCGAACTGGGTATTCCACCTGAAAGCTGACCAACGAGCGGGGATGGTGATTTCACGAGCCACGGTTCAAGACTCAGAGAGTGGTGAGCTAAGAAGTGTGATGTACAAGGGGTTTTCTTCGGAATTATTTGTGCCTTACATGGACCCTGATGAGCATTGGTACTTTAAGACATATTTGGATGGTGGTGAATATGGTTTAGGGGCAACTTCATTATCACTTGTGCCATTAAATGATTGTCCTAGATACTCTTACTACATGGATGGGGTCTTTGTGACATCCGATGGTAAGCCATTTGTTCAGTCTAATATTATTTGCCTGTTCGAGCGTTATTCTGGCGACATCAGTTGGCGGCATTCTGAGATCCCAATAAATGGTTTCCAGGTAATATACTCAAATTACACCTGTGGATACTCTTTGGTAAATCAATTAGAATAAATATAATAAATTATAGATAGAATTACAAGATAAATTACCATTTATTTAAATTCCTATCCCAATATTTAAAAAAACTTCCTTTTTCCTTAATTAAATAATTTACATTTAAAGCTATAAATAAGAATATTAATGATTGGATTTTAAAATTTATAATTAATGAGTTTTAAATTCTTTTTAATTTTATTTTTTATGATTCCTTAATTATTTTACCTTTTTTTTCTTCTTTCTTTAGCCATGTAATGTCTAAAACATTCTATTTTAATATGAACTGATTTCTCAAGAAAGCAAGAATAATAATATATTTTCTTAATAAATAATAGAAAAGATTGTTCTACAGTTCTAGGGTTGGGTATTTTGTACTTTTTATTTTTTTTATTTATGATTTAAAATTGTAATTTTAGTCTAATTTTATCTCATTTTCTTTTCATATGTAAAACTTATGTATTAGATAGAAATAGTGGAAATTAAATTAATTTTCTCTTACCTAAAAAGTACAAACAAAGACAAAGAAGAATGATAAAGATTGGACACCTTTTAATTTGTTTAAAAAACATTTTTATTTTTATTTATTAGGTGTTTATTCCAAGGCCCAATAATTCGAATCCTACTCTACGATTGTAACAGGGTATATTCAGCTTGAAACTTTTATGTGATGGATACTAGATTCCCAATTTGATATGCATGAGTGTGCCGTGCCCAAGTGCATAACTTCCTTTTCCACTATTAAATAATTTATCTTTACATTTAAAGTTATTTTTAAGAATATTTATTAATGGATTTTAAAATTTATATTTAGTGAATTTTAAATTCTCTATTTTATATATTTTAAGACCCTCTTTTTTGTTTTAGTTTTTTGCTGGCAAAAGAAAAAAAAAATATCATCCAAATTCATTAATCATTTTATGCTTCATTAATCATTTAACGCTTTTTTATTCTTCTTTCTATACTTAATCTCTAAAACATTTTATTTTAATATGAATTGATTTATCAAGAAAGCAAAAAAATCTTATATAGATTTTTATAGAAAGTGATATGATATAAAATGAATAGAGAAGTGAATATAATGAGTTTGACTTTTTGTATTAACTATACCATTCATCATTTTGTATATAAATCTTTAAAGATTTATTTGCATGTCTAGTATTATTGTTTAAATAAAAAATAGAAGAAAAAAAACTGTCCTATAGGGTTGGGTTTTTTGTATTTTGTATTTTTCTATATAAATTTTAAATTGTAATTTTAGTATACTTAAGTATTGGATAGAAATATTGAAAATTAGTATATATTTTTATATAAAAAATAAAAACAAAGATTGATACTTCTTAAATTGTTCTAAAAATTTATTTTATTTATATTTATTAGGGTATATTCCACAGCCTCATATTCAAATCCTACTCTACTTGTAATATTTATACGATTGCAACAATGAATATTCTGGTTAAAACTTTTATGGGATAGAGACTAGATTCCCAATTTGATATGATATATGAATGTGATGTTGCCCAAGTGAATGGGTGAAAGTGAAACACGATACAACTGAAAGAGACTGAATTAAATGTTGAATAGATAAAGGAAGCCAGACCAAAGTTGACGCTTGTGGCGCGGATGACAGCATCAGTCGGAAACTACGACTACATATTTGATTGGGAATTTCAAACCGACGGTTTGATTCGCATCAAGGTTAGCATCGTATATTGAATTAATTTGATAGGTTATATATAAAATTCATGAATAACACGCAACAGGTGGGACTCTCGGGGATGTTGATGGTGAAAGGGACTCCACATGAAAATATAAATCAGGGTTTTGACGAAGATGACATATCGGGTCCCTTAGTTTCTGAAAATGCTATCGGTGTTGTCCATGATCACTTTATTACCTTCCACTTGGACATGGACATTGATGGGGTTAATAATTCGTTTGTTGAGGTTAATCTTGTGAAAAAAAAGACTTCGAAAGGTGAATCGCCAAGGAAGAGTTACTTAAAAGTTAAGCGGCGCATAGCTAAAACAGAAAAGGATGCTCAAATTAAGCTCAAGCTCTATGATCCATCAGAATTTCATGTAATTAATCCTTCAAGTCGCTCTAGGTTGGGAAACCCGGCAGGGTATAAAGTTGTCCCAGGAGCAAACGCCGCCAGTTTGCTTGCTCATGATGATCCTCCACAGCTACGAGGTGCTTTCACTAACAATCAGGTACATGCCCCTATAAAATCCATTTACAGTTTTACAAGTTATATAAAACGGATTAGGTATTCACATTATTTAATAGGGATCTCTAAAATGGAAAAAGTTAATGGTATTAATATTATTGATATGGTATCACGCATCAATATAATTAATTTAAAAGACATAAGAGAAAGAGAAAATTTACAAGTCACTCAAATATCTATCCCTGTTGTATTCTCGATTTTTTCAAATAGAATAATGTACATCACATAAAAGAGATAGTATTAGTATGTACTTTAATTTTTTGTTACGTCACATAGATATGGACGACCCCGTATAATCGAACTGAACAATGGGCTGGTGGACTTTTCGTGTACCAGAGCAAAGGAGATGACACACTTGCAGTTTGGTCCGAAAGGTATAAATTTNCTTACTTTTCTTAACTTTTTGTACGTCAGTCCGCTTCGCGACCTGACCCACACTAAAATCAATACAACGCAGTGGACGTAGGACTTGCTACCTTAGCATCCGAACCACTTTAAAAGTTTTCCCTGCATTTATTTCATTTGATATATCCATTATCACGTGCATTAATTCTTCAAAGAGCAAAACCCACGTGACAATTGGTTGGTGCCGAAAACGAGCATCAACAGTAGAGAAGAAAGATACTGGCTCTGGTTTGATCCCAGTAAAGAGTATCATCGATATAGCATTCTTTGGACGGCTAACAATATCATGTACGTTAATTTGATATCAAGATTTCCTTCTCTTTACCAGTTCCCTGTCTTAGTCTTTCTTAGGTCCTTTTGTAGTTACTATAGAAGAGGATAAGCAGCTGTAAACAGAGCATGGGAAGAAGTTGAAGTAAAGAGTCGTCCAACAATCTTGTTGCAGAAGGAGGTTAAATTATCAAAAGCAAAATAATGGACCAGCGTCCATTACTTACGAACGCCCGTCCACAGTGAAAAGACGGCCAAAAAGTTTCTTTTTTTATTTGTAAAAGCAAAATGATGGACGAGCGTCCATTTCTTACGGACGCCCGTGAAAGAGTAAGGGACGGCCGTCCATAATTGGTGGACGGGCGTCCCCAAAGTTTTTTTCTTTTGCTTTTTTTTTTCATATTTGGGTCAAGGACGGGCGTCCATTATTAATGGACGCCCGTCCAAAAGTAATGGATGACCGTCCATAATGGATGGACGACCGTCCCTAATATTTAACAAATTTTTTATTATATTTTATTCAGGGACGGGTGTCCCCATTGACCCCGTCCATATAATATGGATGGGAGTCTATGTGAGTGAATGGCCGTCCAAATTTGATGGACGGCCGTTCACTAAAAAAAAATTGATAAAAAAATCAAGCGCTTGATACACGTAGGCCAGTACACATTTTCGGTGCAGATTTATCAGTGTCCGTAGCTTTGTTGTTACCTTAACTCCCCACGTTTCTCAAATATATATATATATATATCATTAGAAATTTTTGTTACTTTTAATAGAATGAATGGCAAAGAGGTAAATGAACCGCACTTTTATAATTATTAATACATAATGAAAATATAACCCAAACAACACCCTCAAATCTAAAACATATCTTGTAGCCTGTTAGGATCCAACATCCACTAAGTATAAGATTGGTGGGTGGTTTATTAACCCATAGGCTCACTCCCTCTACAAGTTGGTGTTTAATAATTTGTGTCAATATTATTATTTCCTTTAATATTAATATATATATCCAATTTCACTAATTTTAATTTTTGTTTTATGAAATTAAACATAGACAACAACCTTAGCAAATTTAATTGTACTGTGAGATTACCAAAACACAATTTCATCTTAAAAGACGAAAATATCTCTTTCACTAATTTTTATTCTTGATCTATCTTTTATGTGTGTGACCCAAAGACTCCTCATCATATCAATAGTGAATAGTATCACAATTGACAATCAATCAATCGTCCCACTAGACACAAACCAAGATTGACCTCTAGCCAGGTATCATACACCCAATAGATTTGGATTCAGGGAAACCGCTACGTATCAACAATATGATTACCATGCAATCAAAATCCTTTCATCATCTATTATCTTATCAGGGCTGAGGTATAGAAATAATGTCAACCTCAATGAATATCTTTGATCTCTTTGTATTCGGTTTTCCAGACCAATGACCTTAATAAATTGGATCGAGCGATAACTCAATCCTACAGTGGCCACAACTTTAGTTTCGTTGTCCTTCATTGAATTGCCTAGTGAGATAATTTCTCTTGTACCCGGGAGTGGTGAGTCCTTTATTGATCCACCATAGCCTCAATACACTTTTCAATGTAGTCAACCACTATCATTCGAATAGTCCTAAATAAGATTACATTGGGCTAGTGTCAAACTACACCAATTGGTGCACAAGGCACTCTAGTGATCTCAAGTCTAAAGATCACAGGCACCACTACTCGTTGGAGGACTCATTCCACGGACACTAGGGTTACCATCTATGTGGAATCCTCTAGTGGGTCAGTCTGGTGAACTTGCCTATAGCAAGCACCCATGTGTTGTACCAGGTCGTCACCAAACACCTTGAAAAGTGAGATTTGTCACTATCTCTCGACAGAGTCATTCAACACTATGATAGTCTTACCGTATTATTTGTGCCCTAGGTTAGGATAATATGAGCTATGGACGTTTCTAGAATGGCTACCACATGTGCTCATATGGTTCTCATTATGAAGATTTCAAACACTCAATACCCTCGTCACGATTCTACCATCCTAAGGACATATATCACTTTCTTGTACGAATCTAATCAGGTCACATGATATAGATAAATGCCTTTTATTGATAATAAAACATGATTTACAAAGAGTTAATTTACAATATATGATTGGCTCTAGGGCACCTACTCTAATAGCACGTAACACGTGGTGTGTCTAGCCCACCTTAGGATATGTGAAGTCATCTAGCTATGAAAGTGGGTCACAATAGACATAGTATTCGAAAGCATTGTAGAATGTTAGGATTCCACATCCACTAAGTATGAAATTACTAGGTGGTTTATTAACCATTTGACTCCCTACCCTTAAAAGTCAATTTGAAGGGTGTATTCTACCTAGTGGGTGCATAACACAACCATCTTAGCTCAATGTCAATCACATGTAACACGTTGTGTCTCTAGCCCACCCTTATTGCCAATCATTCCACACTCTCCCACATAGATTCTTAATTGCATAATATCCACAATGGTCATGGTTGGTAGAGGTTCTGTACCAACCTAGTCCATTGAAAAGATGTTGTGTATTTTATGAGTGCTCCTTTTGATTCAAACCTAGGATTTTGTCCTTTGAAATGTATCTTGAGTACTAATTGAGCTACATAGTGTCAGTAACAGATGGTATCCCATCCGAAATTGTGTGGATAATCCACCATTCAGGATTTGTAGCAAGGTTGGATCATAGCCCCAGGACGGCCAACGAAAATGCTAGGTTGAAAAGGTTAATGATTCTTTTTTTTTTTTTCTTCCATTTTCTTTCTTTTTTTTATCCTTTTCCTAAAAATTATTTAAGAAAAAAAAGTTAGGGTGAGGTTGATTTGGAATTTATTAATTTGGTTTGTTACTAATGATCATTGTTGTGCGGGTATGGATTATGGAAGAACAATATGATAGGAGGAAGCGCTGATAGGGTGAATTTGTTGGTTTTTGTTGACCTCTTATGTGTTTTAATGTGCCAAAACTATCCAAAAAGTTGATTCATTACTAAACAAAACATGCTAAGGTATGACACAAGTCATAACCAAACCAAAATAGATTTATCAGGTGGTATGATCATGCGTAAGCAGATTTTTCAAGTGGTATGATCGTGCGTGATAAAGGCACGACCGTTCAATAAAAGAAAACTGCCTAGATGAATGTGTGATAATCCTAGGATTATACTATATTTTCTATACTTTTTGGTAGGATTTTGGATACTTCTTATGTCGTTTTGTGCCTGAATTGCAACTTAAATTCATATATTTTACGTTTCAGGCCAAAACATGCAGTTGGAGCAAAACCGAGCGAAATTGAGTTTCTAGACCCGGAATCAAGAGAAATTAAGGAATTAAGGAAATTCTGATGCGGAGTGGAAGCACTATGAAGCTTGTTCCTATCGAGGATCACGAAGATCAAAGATTTAAGCAAAGAAGCAAGCTGAGGGAAATTTCATAATTTCAGAAAAGATCAGCAAAGTTCACCGTGGTGAAGATAATTCTCTGCCGCGGCAAGCTAGCCTCGGGTCAGATGGTTCAATGAGATTTCAACTCTATGCCGCGGCGAAATTTATTCTTCGTCGCGGCAAAAACTACAATTCTTCTGTTTTTAAAACGTTGCATTTTAATTGTATTATATTAGAATCCTAGGGTTGTGGCCGACTATTTAAGAGAGCCATAGCTCATTTTGTTGGGGAGTTTGGATTTTGAGAGAAGAAAAGGGAGAAATTGGAGATTGGAGCACTTTTGGGTCTTCATTTAGGGAAGATTTCATCCTTTTCTACTGTTTTAGCATGTTGAATTCTTTACTTACAGTTTATTTTACAAATTTCTTTAATTTGAATATGAACTAACCCACTTTTGGGTTAGGGTTTTGACCTAACTTTGATTACAATGGTTTAATCTTTAATAGATGTTGTTTTTAAGTTCTATTGCTTGGATTTTGTATTTATTCTTGTTCTTAATGCAATTGAATGCTGAGTTTTCCTTATTTCAATTAAATGTTGAGCATGATGATACTGAGAAGTGTTTCATGTGTTAGCCTCTTAGAGTAAATACCATAGATTAATGAATGCTAGAGATAGGTTCGGAGATTTATGAAATCACTTTAGAGTTCCTTTTAGCTTAAAAGACTTTGAACTACTAATCTTCGTACTGTTGGGTGTGGAAGCTTAATAGGGATAAGTAGGAAAATATAGCCTGAGAAGGTATGTTTTACAACTTAGGGAATTCGATTTATAATCCTTGCATGTGAGTTTAAAAGCAACATCAACAGTAGATTGAATCAGAGTAACTTAGTGAAGTCAAACCCTAACCTCTTTGTCTTGAATTGATATTTTCATAATTAGTTGATATTTTCTTAATTAGTTAGAGTTTAATTTACATTATTGATTTTGTGTTAATTTATGTTTTTGTCTCCCGCAAATCCAACAATCTTTGTGTTCTTCAACTAGTTACAATCCTAGGAAAATTTAGTACTTAACACGCAATCCTCGTGGGAACGATATTCTTCTCATCATTTTATTACTTTTTGCGACTAATGCACTTGCTACACATTGCATGTTGTAAAATCAACGCATCAAGTTTTTGGCGCCGTTGTCAAGAATTGATTTTGTGTTAATATTGAAGTTTCCTAGTTTTCACTAGATTGGAGTTTTATTTTTGCTTTAATTAGTCTTAG